AGAGGAGAAGGATCCAAACGTCTTGAGAATCATTCATTATTCTCCCTTATATTGAGAATTCCTGCAAATCGATTAACAAATACCTTTCAATGCCTAGCTCTCTTTCGCAATCCATCGCTTTCTCATCCTTTCACCTTCACATGAGGCACTCTCTTTTCATCTCCCCCCCCCCTCTTTTTCATTTCAGATTCTCCGCCTCCGTTCGGCATTTTGTGATATTAGAGTCTAAGCGAGAGCTTCGAGAGATTCGATCGAAGCACGCTTCCATTGGTATTCCTAATGGCGAGAAAGGATGTCGAGTTAACGTCGTTTAAAAGCACAGGCCGTCGCCCATTAATGCGCCCGATAGTTCTCCAGAAAATCTCATCAATGGTTCTATTTTCGATCTCATAAAGGACGATATCGAACAGCGCTCTGTAACGAATCGTTCTGTTGTTCGCTACGAAGTTTTGTATCAGCGAGCAACTAATAATGCAAATAATGCAACATAACGTAATTTCCGGAATCAACTACGCTAAATACGCAAAACCTGATTCCACATGACAATTGGAAAGGATTTTCTCCTTTTCGTCCACTATGAGATATCGTATAAAGCAAAAGCTAAACGACACATGAGAGTATTTCTTAGAAATGTTATCTTCTGTAGAAATGTCATATATGCAAATTAATTTTATTGCAAATGAATAAATTTCTGTTCAAGAATTTACAGATAATAATTAGTAATTACTAGATAATATAGCCCCTATTTTTTATTTTTGCAAACAATATCAACACCAAATCTTATTTTTGCATTTTGTTTGTCAAAATAATTTATTCTTAAAGTGAGGAAATTTATCATTTCGTCGTAAGAATGTTAAATATTAATGCAGAATATTTAAATATATAATGTGTGTAAGCGCATGTGTAAATACACATAAACTAATGCAAAATGAAGCAAAATAATATTTAACTTACTATTTATATAATTATATAATTATTACAGATGCTTCGAGTTCACTACATAAAAATTTATGATTATTGCCATTTAATTATATTTTATTATATTTAATTATCTGGAAAAATAAGTTACATAAAAATTTTAAATATTTTTTATCCTATAAGAAATATTAAATTTAAAAATTAAATATCGGCCCGATTATACATAATGTGATATTGATATCTGCAATGTAATGCACGATTTGTGTGAACAAACAGATTTATTACTTGTTAACGTAACAACTTGTCCGCAAATAAATTACGTTTCTGTTAACGGTGTTCTAACGTTAATCGAATCACGAACTAATTTCGCCAGAGAGTAAACCAGCTAGTGAAATCGACGAAGATAACCAATAAATGGTCAGTAGAAGTTAGTTACAAGGTAAACCTTGCTGCAATACTTAATTGTCGTCATAACTCGAGACAACTTAACCCTCGCCACCGCGAGGATGTGATCATTATGCTTGCGATGAAAACTATCCAACGAGGATAATTATTCTTGATCATTTCTCCAATCAAACAATTTTTCCAAAATAATTTCTATCCTTGTATTTGCATAAAAATATATCTTTTTCAGAAAAATGTATTTTTTACATTTTTTTATCAACAAATTATATTTATTATATATA